GCTAACAGGGGGCTCGTGATCCTCATGACCCTGCTGGATGCGCTCTTGAGGAGGATCGATTCAGAGAATTATCTCCCTTTAGACGTGGTCCATCCAACTTTGATATGATTCGACCTTTGCGAGTTATATATAGTGACACCTTCGGTTGTACCAAATTACCTTAATTTGAATAGAGCACCCTATATATTTTTCAATTTTTGAAATATTCTCAAGGTTCTAGATACATGAGAGATGCTATAATGAAATACGGGCGATTTACATATACAGATAGTTAGTAGGAGCCCCTTATATTTCTGGACGAATTATAGACCTAATAATACGCGGTCACTTATCAGTTAGGAAGCTTTGTAAGCGTCTGGGTTTGTTACAACTCAACTGACGCACAAGGATTGACACGAGTACCGTTGTGCAAAAAATGTTGAATATATTATCAGGTGACAAAAGCCGGCTATATCATTTTTCATGCTCCGCGCGGAAGACAAAGCCTTGCCTGGGTTTTCGAGAATGAAGATGAGTCGGTTGAAGTCAAAAAGTCGCCGTTGAGTAGAAAAAAATAGCCGTTTCCTCTCTAAGGATATCAGATTTACTGCCAACACCAAAAGGCTGTTACAACCGAATGGTCCATAGAAAATTGTTTGCTACAAGTATTTGCAACACTAAAAAGTTTAAGACTTAGATCGCCGCTACGCTCGTGCTATCTTCACATCGACAACGAACCGCCGCAGACGCAGCACTTTTTAAAAAGTGTGAAAAAGCGCAGGGTTTGCATCCAAAAACAAAACATGGAAGGCATTGTGTGATTCTATATAGGCTATGATTCTGAAAAACAATGAATACTTTTTAATATGACAGAACTTCGTACACGAAAACCCAGGTTCACAACATAAAAAGGTGGTGTGTGCTGGGGCACCCACTACATTCTTTACCTGTATTGAATCTGCAGCCAGAATTGGGACCCAATGGAAAAATCCTAGAGGAAACGCATATAAACAATAAAAATGAACAGAGGTCCAAAAAAAAAATGTTGCGCGTGGTTGTACTACTATAGATTTAGATAGATAGGAACATTTATCAACTAAAAATGTTCGTAGTTGACGCTTAAAACTTGCAATACTATTGACTGAGATTCGCTGCAAGTTTGTTATATATCCTAATGTAGGTGTATGGTGGGTGATTTTTCAGTGTCAGTGGAATACTTAGGCTCTAAAGATGTCTCTGCAGGATTCTCTTCTATGGAAATTGATCTTGATTGACTCCAAATCCTAATGCTCCTTAACAAATGTGTGTAAACGAGAGTATAATACACATCTATTAAAGTTCATTCAGATAAGCAAAACTCAACTACGTTTTTTCCATATATTTTCTTTCCGATGCCTAAAGAGATTTTTGAGAGATGCACATCCACCAAAATACAAAAACATGTGAAGCTCGTATCTCAATTGCTCTCATATTTGACCATCGACCTCCCATTACTTCGGACTGTTCATCGGAATAAATATATGGGAAAAATATGGCTGGACCGCCAGCACACAGCATTTTTCTTTATCTTGCGAACTTGTGTAATGGTAGGTACTTCAACATATGTCTACGACTGCCAGTCTGGTTGACACCATTGTGTGAACAAAGCGGAATGTATAAGCTGTAAACCGCCTTTAAGGTAGAATTTATTCCACCACCTGTGATGACCTTTAGCGATCGCACACCTCAGCAAAATCCTGACCCCTAATCGCCTGTAACACCTGAAATTGTTCCAAACAGAACCTACCTGGCCGTTTAATGCATAATTCACGTATATGTGTGACAGAGGTCTGCGTGGCTGCCACCCTTGTTATCCCTTTCTGCGCCCTTAACCTATTTTCTGTGATTTGTTGTGTTAATATAAGCGCTAATGGTGCGACTGAACCGCCAAATTTGCGAGGGATAGAGTAATGCTATCTGTAAGAAGTGTTACCAACAGTCTGTAATTATCTGATTCTATACAGATAATGCATATATGATATATTATGCGCTCACACAAAAATGGCTATAACTAGCTTCCGCTAGTTCAGATGGAGTCATGAAGCTCAAAGTAGAAAAGTTGACAATGATGTGGCGATAGAAGAGAAGTAGAACACAGTGAAATTTAACCTACAAACATTTGGACAAATATACAATGCAGTTAGAAAAAAATATGGCTTGTCGCTGCAAGCCATAGTCCGCTTTCTACGTGCATGTAAGACTGAGGCTGGAGTAGCTTAGGTTTGTAGACTTTGAGTAAGGCCCAAGTACAGATCGAAAAAGCGTAAGTCAAAGGTGGCCCAAAGCTAAGGGTCATTAAAAAAACAAGGTAAAATGAAGAAGGTCCAAAAATGGGAGTACCAAAAAGGCCAAAAATAAGCTTCAGTAAAGGGGTGGCACAAATCTGAAAAAAGAACAAATGCAGTAAGAATCCGTTTTATGAACTATTCATCTACAAGTTTCCCTCTGTATGAAAAAAATGGACTTAAGAATTTCTAGGTTACAATAGTCATTGTATTTATTATTCAAGTCAAACAAAGGGACCCAGAAACGCCTTTGGCAAAGTATAATAATGCGCCTGCAAAAGCATGAAATAAAGTAATCCATACTAAAAGTCTTCATTGCTCCTGAAATTCAAATAAGTCATCTTATAAAAAAGTATAATTACATTTGAAACATAATTTGAGCAAAAAAGAATTCGAAAGAAAGTCGATAGTAAATCACAACAGCTATTTGCAAAATGAAAGGATATTACATCCAACTCACCATTTTTGCCTTTTTGCTCTTTCAAATTTACGTCGATAGAGGAAAAAATCAATAAACTATTTATATGGTGGTGATGAATGAAATATGAACGATCCTGTCCAGAAATATTTGAAAGTGTACATAACAGCTATTTTAGTAGTGACAGGCATGTGTAAAGATGGGTGTAAGAGATTCGAATTTCATGGAAGATGAGGTCGTTATATGGCGCAGAAGTACTGTAAAGCCTAGATTTGTACCTTCACTTTGTACATCACCAAAGCACGTATACGGTTTTTTGGACGCAAGAATTTTGTCAGCAGGCCAAAGACTATCGCCTGTGGCAGTAAGCATTTCTAAGACCGCAGTTTGGCGTAATATGTCTGGTTATATGATCTGTTTACGCTTAGAAACAAGATTTTTCGCCAAGTAGCTTCCTCGCTTAATAAAAAGAGACTAAAATACTGAGACAACTATTGTTTGTTCCCCGCGTCGCAGGTTTAATGACTAAAATACTGCTCAAAAGCGCTCATTTGACATTTTCGACAGATGATTGTTAAATCTGTCTCTTTTCTACCATTACTCCAATTACAGAGTACCCTGCTATAAATTTATGCTATCGATTTTTTTACATGGAAAGGTCGATACAAATATATAAAGTTTCTCATGATTTGTCTTTTTTGTATACAGGGTGCTATGGAATAAAGTTGTAAATAGCCCGTACACCTTAAGAGAATACTACGGTTTCATTTTTTATTCCAAATTTACAGGGTGTTAATAAAGTGTGTAGACAAACTAACCATCGAATCATCGGTCAATTTGAAGACGAAATTTCCATATGAACATGGGACCGCAAAGGCTTTGTTTTCAAGCTAGACCATATTAGCACTAAAAGGATTGATGATATTGTTTAAAAAAATTATAAAAGAATGGAACGTATTTCATTTTAATTAAGTATGCCATGTGGTGAATATCACATGACTTACAGTTGTTTTCAAACCCTCCATGTACGTAGATACGGATAATGTTATCCATATTTTTTGAAAAAAATTGCATGAGTGATTTGTTTTGATCGCAAACTAATATTAAAGCATTGTGCTTATCTAGACACCTATGATGTAAACGAAAACAATTGAATGAATTTATTTTCTCAAATAATTCGACGGCTGTCGAATATTTGTTTTCTTGTCTGGTCATTCTAGGACTCCAAATATTTCTAGGTTTTGGTGATTACTAATTGTCATAATGGTCCAGTTCAGTAATCAAAAAATGACAGATATGCATTTCGTTTGCGGAATAGCTCTGGGTAACGCTCGACGAGCACGACGTTTGTATGGTGATCGATTTCCACAACGCCGGCTGCTTAATTTACAAACTTTCATCAACATTCACGCTCGACTATGTGAGACAGGCAGTTTAAAGAGATCCACACATGTTGCAGGAAGACCCGCAAGTGTAAGACCCATCCAAATCGAAGAAGCTGTGCTTAATAAAATCGAAGAGCACCCTACAACAAGTACACGAAAAATTGTGCACCAGCTAAATTGTCATCATGTTACGGTAGAGGAGAAGGTGTAAATATGGAATATACTCCATCAAAATACGGTTTAACTTACAAATTTTGTCGTCCTTTATTACCCGAACACTGCACCAGCGTTTTTCGCACCCTCGAAGTTTATTCAAGTAAGTCATTATACAGGGTGACTTTGAAGTTGAGTCATTCATTTTCAGATAATGATTGTAGAAGGAAGATAAACCAAAATATGTGTGTAAAAATAAAAAAAAAATAAAAAAAAAATTTTACCTTGTTTTATAAAGTATCCTCCTGACAAGTATTTCAGTGCAGACCTGTATTTGATCGTGAGGTCCCCTGTGAGGTCTGAAGTCACCTGATTCACGAGCCCGTTGTACTACATTAACAAAGGCACGAGGGGTTGGTTGCACTCGATTGGGAAACCGATCCGCATAAACATGTGCCATTTTTTATTTCGTTTGAGCCACGCAACAGACACTATTCACACGCGACTGACACTGACTGTATGTATAACTGAACTGAATAAAATAAACATCGTTCCAAATTCTTTCGCTTTTTTGTTTCCGATGCGATGAACCGATAAGGTGGGTTATATCCGTTGTTGCCAAACACGAGTACATGATATTATTGAGACAGGGCGGTACTCAAACTTCCAAAGGGCTATAACTTTGTTACTTTAATTTTACCAGAAAAATGGTAAAGGAAAAAAACATTTCTTTTGATCAGATCTACTCACTGCTAAAATAAATGACTCAACTTCGAAATCACCCTGTATAAGCGTAGTTTTTTTAATTGCATGATTTTATTTAAATATTATGTACGTTGGCAGTCTACATGATTTAAAGTTTAAGATGCTGTTGTATTTGTTTAAGTTTTTATTTTGATAGATTAGATATAACCTTAAACATTGAAAACGTATAGTGTCGGTAATATGGAATACTGGTATTCCATATTTGCACCACTTGTTTTTTTAATGTATTTTCAAATTTATTATTTTTTTAGGATGCCACGATGTGCAGATCTTCGACCTTCCAGTCCTAACAAACGGAAGCAATACAATGAACAAGACATGGCAAGAGCTATCAAGACAGTTAGAGAAAAAACAATGGGATATCTCAGGGCATCGAGATCCTTTAATGTTCCACGAAGAACGCTCTTTCGCTCTTAGTAGAGACAGCACAGTTACTACCAGACAATGCTGCAGAAACAAAGTTGGGAAGAAAATGTATTCTGGGTTAAAAGCTAGAGAAGGAACTAGTGGATTATAGTCTTAGCTATAGAGTCCAAATTTTAATGCCTTACATCCCAAGACGTGAGGCGCATGGCTTATCAGTTGGCACCAATAAATAAAATTAAACATCCATTTTCTCCATCAGGAGCTGCAGACAGAGCGTGGATTGATTTGTTCTTGAAGCGGCATCCAGAATTGTCAATAAGAAAGCCAACGGATACGTCTTTTGCAAGAGCTGCAGGATTTTGTGGACTGGCTTTTTTGACCTCCTGGAAGACAAATGCGTTACTCACCACACAACGTGTATAACGTTGACGAAACACTCCTAACGATTGTCCGAAGTGAAGTATCATCAGTAGTAGGACTCAAAGGGAAACGCCAAGTTGCTTCATTAACATCTGCAGAGCGAGGGAGTTTGATTACAGTCATTTTTGTATGAGTGCTGCTGGAAACTTCGTCCCTCCCTTAGTTATTTTTCCTAGAAAAAAATGTGAACATGCAGCTAATGAAAGGAGCTCCTCTTGGGTCCGTAGGAGTTGCACATCCATCCGGTTGGGTACAATCCCATATTTTTAACCAGTGGTTTCGTCAGGTTATAGAATACGTTAAACCAACTAAAGAGAACCCTGTCCTGCTTGCTCTTGACGGTCATTACAGCCACACGCGCAATATTGAAATTATTGATCTTGCAAGAGAAAATTTTGCCACTATGTTGTGTCTACCTCCTCACTCTACACACAAACTCCAACCGTTGGATAAGTCACTTATGAGACCATTGAAAGTCTATTACAGTGAAGAGATTCGTATTTGGATCCGCCAACACCAACGGGCTCTGAGCCCCTTTGACATTATGGTGTTATTTGGTAGAGCTTATGAAAAAGTTCAGACTTACGCAATAGTGGCAAATGGTTTTCGCGCCGCTGGAATTTGCCCTTTTAACAGAAACGTTTTTACTAAAGGTGATCTATATTGCTGCAGAACAAGAAGCAGCAAAAAGAGGAATTACCGTTGGCATTGAAAACCTTAAAACCACTGGTCCTGTTGACGTTAGCAAACCATCCTGCTCCAAGGATTGGGTCGAGCCTATCGATATCGATCAACCTTCATGCTCTAAAACCTCATGCGAAGATAATGTGCCTATCAGAACTCAGACGAGTGACCAAGAAATAGAGCAAAGCTCTGACTCAAAAGCTGACGACACTATAACAAAGGAATTCGTTTCACACAATCCGCAAAAGAACTAACAGAGGATGTAGGTAATGGGTTCGACTGTGATTACCTCGTCACCATATAAAGATGAACTAAATAAGTCAATAAATGAAAAAACTGAAGAAGAGGTCAAAGTTTGTGGCATTAAGAGAAACTTGTCCTCAGGAACATCTTTAAAACCAAAAAGAAATCCTAAAAAACCAAAACCAAAGATCGTAAAGCCTAAAATCCAGACCACATTAAAACGTCCAAAGAACGCAGTTTCTTCTGATGAATCTGAAAGCTCCGAAGATGTAGGACTTGACGACCCTGACAGTGATTTAGAGAGTACGCCAGGACATACAAAACCTAATGAGGACGATGCTTCATGAATATTTTTCCAGGCTGCGTTATCTGCTGATCAGAGAGGAGAATTATGGGTACAATGTTTGATGTGCTCAATGTGGGCACATAACGAATGCGCTGGTTCCGAAAAAGATGAATATATTTGCGATTGGTGCAAGTAAACTGTAAAAATGTGCACTATTTTCTAGCTTAGTTAAGGTATTCCAAATTTGCACCACCTTTTCTCAGGTGGACATTTCGATTTTCTTCAAACTATTTTTTGTAAATTTTTTTTGAGAGAATTACACTTTTGAGTTTATGTTCATGTTCTTCATCCTTTAAGTACCCGTTCCCCAAATTTGGCATAATTCTGATCATATTGCTTAAAAAATGGTATTCCATATTTACATCTTCTCCTCTATAGCAAAATTTGAAAGATCTGCAACTTTATCCATATCATATGCAACGTGTACAAGCGCTTTTGTCTTGAGATTTACCTGTAAGAGTTGATTTTTGCAACTGGTTACGTGAAAAAGTAACATTAAATAAAAAAAATTGTAATCGTAATACTATTGACGGATGAAGCATGTTTCTCGCGAGCAGCAATAATAAATTTCCGTTATATCCATGTATGGTGAGAGAAAATCCCTATGCCATAATTGAACATAATACGCAACACGACTTTTCCTTCAATATTTGGATTGGAAACGTTAGTGACCACTTGATTGGTCCTCATTTCCTTCCCCCCAGACTTAGCGGCGAAGAGTACCAATGATTTTTGGAATTTGACCTACCCGCATTATTGGAGGGAATTTCTCTTAGAGAACGGCGTCACATCTGGTACATGCGTGACGGTGCTCCGCCACAACTTCAGTGTCGTTGCGTGAGAATACCTAGATCATAATGTCCAAAGCGATGGATTGGAAGAGGCGGACCATAGCTATGGCTCATAGCTCATAGTGCCCTAGCTCGAAAGAAAAGCCTTTACGGGCCCATGTTCATAGAAAATTTAGTCTTCAAATTGACCAAGTATTCGAGGGTTAACGTTTGTCCACATACTTTATTAACACCCCTGGATATATTTAATATCCTAATATCGATATATATATCTATATATAAATATCAATTACATCTAGCCACTATGCAAACTGGATTCGTATGGCCGGATGCGTATGATTAAATGACAGACAAAATTTGAGTTTCACACTGAAGTAATGTAAATATAAATAAGTATGTCATATTTTCCAAGAATATGTATTTCCAAGGGAAAAACACTCGCTCAATCGATTACACTTTTCTGAAATACCCTGAACACTTGGAATATATCGCGATAAAAAAGTATACATTTCACCCTAGATCTTTTGTGTAGAGCTTTTTTTCAAAGCGCTTATACAAAATGTCGGAGTCAATTTATACCAAGACCTGCGTAAGTATGTGGTCCACTTTTTGATGCCGCCGAATTCTAGACGTGCCAGATTGCCTCGCAATGCCTCTTTCTCTCCCTCTCAATCAGTGGAGCCTCATGTAACGAATGTAGAACAGTCTTATCTCAATAGAGTTTCTTCAGTTGAAAACACATAAGTATAGCAGATCTCTCGAAATTTCTTCAACAACCGCAGGTCTCCGAGACATAAGCTTAGCCTTCTCACCTCCTTTAGTAAGTGACAGTGAGGACCAAAAAAGTCAGAAAATGAAACACCTACACATGTGAGCATTTTACGTACCGTTTAAATTCATAGCCTCTAGCATCATCGGACTAACAGTAAAAACAGAATCATGTTGCGATCTGGGCGAGGAATTCTAGAGGGACTGTAAGGCAATTGATTTATGGACGTCATAAATTCGCTAAAAGGCAAAACATCTTAATAAGCGGAAATGCTTTTATTATTTATATTTAAAGTCGTCACGGGACCAACAATTCAAACTGCTAACGGTGAGCTGTTCTAGGCATATTCACGAGTTGCGGTAAATCAACTCGACAATACATGTACAGGAAGAGTAGGACAATCACTGCTGAGTTACTTCAAAAAACAGTACTACCTTGCAATGTTATTTAACAATTATTATATAATGCTGAGCGTTGAGCCAAGGACATAGGGAAACGAATATGCCGCTGCAAGAACACTTACGTAGCTGTAACAAGTGCCGCTTAACCCCTGAAAAAATCATAATTAAAGTGTCTGAAAGAGACTGCTGGGCGTTTTTATAAGCTTCCTAAAATGGCCGCTGCGTAGCGTAATTCCAATTTTAGAAGTTTAATCGTCATCATTTTCATCCCAACCAATCCGAAATACAACGCTGAGATATCCACGAAGCCCGATCTAGGGACCATAACCTGAAGACTGAGACTTGATTAGGACCGGAAGCGGATGCCTAATAAAATGAAACCACGAAACGTCAAACTCGGTGCAGCCAAACAGAAGTTGTGACCTAAGCTAACCAAAATTTAAAAAAAAATGGCATAAACAAAAACAGTCAGTACGGTAACGCTATTAGGTACGAGTTCTGTAAATTAAGTGATGAGACTACTTTTTTTAATTTTTTTATCCAAATGTAATTACACTTTTATATTGTCACCCTCAAAATAACTTCCTTCTGAGGCCAGAGAGTCCTGGAGATGGTGCATCCAGTCTTCTCATCAGTGCTGGAACTCCGATACCGAAATAGCCTTCCACTGGACAGTTACAGCCATTTGAATCTTTTTGACTTTCCCAAAATCAGTTTATTGGCGAAAGAAAAAAAATGTCACAAAAACTCAAGGCAGGCGAATAAGGAGGCTGAGGATATACAGGAATGTTTTTTTCTGGCCAAAAACTCGTTTATTGGCATTGCTGTGTGACAAGGAAGGAGCATTATCGTGGCGCAACACCCAGTTGTTCTTCATCTTCTGCTGAACGGTGGTGTGAGCCAAATTTTACTTTTCTTCAATCATTCTGGCGGTCAACCGACAAGCTGGACGTACAAGGTCTCGAATTCTGTCGATATTTTCTGAAGCAAAACCTGATAGCACACCATTACTTGAAATTGATAAAACTCATTTTTAGAACACAATAGAAAAAACTATTTCACAATAAAAATCGTTACGAACAACCAAATGACTCTAGCGAGTTCAAACTTGTGCTGAAAGCAGATCACAGTTATGTTCCCCTGTCTTCTCTCGAAGCCCGGCGCCTCCAGTGTTGCCAGATCGAACGCTACGTTGCCAGTCTCATCACTTAGTTTTCAGACCTCGTTTGTTATCGATATTTGCAAAATAATGGTACTAGAATGTTTGAAATTGAAATTACGCAACCTAGAGGCGATTTCG